ATATTAAATATAATAAAAATTTGTCATATTAAACTACTTATATCAAATTTTAACACTTAACAACATAAATTATTTATATATTTTTTATTATTTAATATTTAATATTTTAATAATAATCCTTATAAAATAAATCTTAGCCATTGAAGTTTGATCTAATGATGAAAATATTAAGTGGAGAAGAAGTAGAGAGAGGGTTAAAATAAATTCATTTGTTTTTTTTTTAAAAAATAAATTTGTAACTGCCGCCTTAACACGGTTAGATCACAATCTAGTTATCAACATAATTCACCATAATTTTTTCGTTAAAAAGAAAAAGCACCACGAAATTCACCATAATTTCCTTTCTCACCGTGGAAATGAATGGCTTTTACCCTTGCCAATACTACTCAATCAATGCATTTCTTCTCGTCATGCGTCGTTCCAATTTTATAGAATGTCTGCTAAGGGACATTTTCTTCTCAATCTGCAAAATGAATATTATTATATTCCTCCGGTCTTAAATATAAGATGTCTTTTGTAGTGTAATACACTACAAAAGGCGTCTTATATATTTTTCTGTTTTGGTAGACACAGGCATCTTCCTACTAGAAATGATCATATTCCAGGTATACAAGTGTGTTTTAGGTAGACCTGAAACACTCAACCAAGAGACACAATAATCTTTCTGTTTTTTTCCAGAAGAGATAGAATGATGTTATATGTAATGGGTGGAGTGACACAGCAAAAAGAGTCCAATTTTTGAATTTTTTTGAGATGCTCATTAAACATAGATTATTTGAATTAAAAATTAAAAACGACGGTTATAAAGAAAACTTTTAAAGTTAGCTTCTCAACAGGTCAAAAAGCTTCTCAAACTTTATCTCTTATCAACTTATAATGCGGCCTGAATTGGGATACCTTGTCGCATAAGTAGATGTGTCGCACATGCTATGATAATGTAGAAAAACTATAATTTTTTAATTTAGTGTTGCCGATGACAGGCATGCCATTGCCATCAACTTTCGACAAACAAGGGCCAAAACCTCTGTCATTTAACAAAAACTGTTCATTCCAGTTACAACAGCTTCGAACCTTCAGGGCCCAGATCATATTATACCCATTGTACCCAACGGCAAAGGGTCTCTAATGCGTCTTTTAATGCTCCAAGCTTCCAAATGCTTTTTCTTGTGATATGTATGTGCGCGAAGCAGCATTTGTAGCAGCATTGTTTCAAGTTGTCTTGTTTATAGGCAAAGCTCAATGGGTTAGTGAGTCTGGGGAATGATCCCCAAAAGAAGAGGAAGAAAAGGGCTAGAAATTAAAATATCCATAATAGTCTTGTGAATAATCTCCAAATTGTTTTTGAAAGTGAAGAAACATGGTAAAATATATTGATTTCTCTATTTATTTTTGGATAAGACCACCATAATATAAATAAATCTTAAATGATAAGGAGATATATGGTTTTTAATTTCATTCACAAGGTGCATAATTAAGGTTCTTTACCGTACTGCTTGAAGACTCATCATTCAAAGTTCACGTGTCTATTTGCATCACACACACACACACATATATATATTAATATAAATTTGATAAAAGATTAAGGCCAGGAAAATAAATTAGATGAAACAAACTTGAAAAATACAACCTTAAAGAGCTAATAAATTAATAGGAGCTCAAATGTGCATAATTTAAGAGTTTCTCTTTTTTAGCTCTCAGAGTTCAAAAGCTCATAATATAATAAAGAATACATACGTATAAACACACACCTCTACACACAAACATGAGAATATGCTGTGCTACAATAGAGAATAATTATATTCTTACGATTATTTTAATAAGCAACTAGTACAGAACCCGCGCGATGCGTGGGTGTAGTTTAAAAAATTATGCTACTTGTTTTTAACTACGTAATATCGAATTGGTTAATTAATCACATTTAAGCTAATGAAGCGTTGAAGATCAGTGGAGAAAAATAGAACTAAGGATTTTTTTTAATTAATCAAATAGTCAGATTGCAAAAGACTTCTTTGTAAACAATGTTACGAGTTTTCTTTGTTGCATTTCCATCTTGATCTAAAATAATATCTTCAAGCCTTCCTTCCTCCGAACACGTGAGAGTGCAACAGATAGCTGACCATGGGTAAATACAGGGGGAGGAAGATACAGGCCGACATTTTGCAAGCTTTGTCCTTGGCTTTTGTTAATCGTCATTGCAAAAGATGGCATGACTAGAAACTGCCTTCTACGCAAAGTGAATGGGAGAGATGTGTTTGAAGGCGTAACGGTTGTTCTTGGGATCAATACGCTTGCACCTGCACTAGTTGATGTCATTACTTCTGCCCCAATAACATTTTGCTTCAACCTACTTACAATTAAACGGGTGTTATTACATAGACCGTTAGACTTGTCAATGTTACATGTCAGCATAATGGCAGCAACCACCTTGAACCTTAGTTTGTGGTTTAGAAGACCTGACATTGATAGAAGTGTGCACCCCCTCTCTTTCTTTGAGAGACTATCAACACTTAAATAAATCTTTTCTTCCTCGGGAATCATATCAAAAATATAATTATTCACCTCATCAACATCCGTTAGCGTGGAAGCGAGAATAGTTCCTGGAAATATGGCTTATCATTTAAATGATGTAACAAATTAGGATATATGGCTTTCACAATACACTCCAGTGGTGTAGTGTTGGACTTCAACAGAAATTCATCTGGCATGGTTATCAAGTTCTCAGAATTATTCTCTGTAGGGACAGCTTCATCCCCTATGGATATCACCCAATTGGAAAAGTGGTGTACCTCTTTATTGTTGGCTGCTGTTTGAGAACTCATGAGCCTCATACTCTTGGTTAGCTTAAAAAGCTTGCAATCATTCCAGAATTATGAGCATTTACTGTAGCATACACAATATCTTCACAACTTCCTCTTGGATGACAGGTAATATTTGTCTGAAATCACCCCCAAACAGGACAACCTTGCCTCCAAATGGATAAGATGATGCTTTTATGTGGCTTACCCAAAATGATTACATATCACACGCTTGTGTAAGCCTCCAATCATTGAAGGTAAAATAAATGAGATTATATATCGCAAATATTGGTGGTTATGGGAGAATTTGACAGCTTACCCAATATATGGGAACACGCAATGCATCACACACACTTGACATGAATGGTCGGACAAGAGGTTAGAACAAATAATCTAAATATACATTACGTAATATTTAAAAGTTATTTATACATCATATTTTATACTCCCTCCGTTCCTTATTATAAGAGATATTTGATGCTTATGACATGTTCCTATATATAAGAGACACTTAAAAGTTGTCTCTACTTTTTTGTGTTGATTTCCTATTTTACCCATATTTATTATCTCCAACTCACACTCTCTCTCCCTCCAACTTCTCTTTCTTTTAATAATTTAATTGTTCTCTCTCATGCTCTCTCCTTATTAATGAGGGTATTTTTGGAAAAAAATTATATTTTTTTACACATTAATTGTTCTTAACTAATTTTAACTATTTTTTTGATCAACGTACTTTGGTTATTTGTCTCTTATAATAAGGAACGGAGGGAGTATAATATTATATTTATTATAGCCATAATGATATACTAAATATAAGGCATGTGATGATATATTATATTATTACATTATGTTCCATTATACTTAAGATATTATATTATGTATTTTGATTATAATAATAAAAATAATTATTTTCATAATAAGATGAAACAAAAATATTTAAAAAACCTTGATTGTTTCAAATTAAGCTGGGGACGTGGAGATTTTAACTAAATCTGGGGCTATTAAAACTTAAGTATAATATGCTATGTGTTGATCAACTGAGGGTTTATCTGTTAATCTTTAATCTTCAATAATTAATAATTTCAACAACTTAACAGATTTATTATTATTTGCCAATATTTTGGTTTCACGTCTTCAATTTGGGTACAAGCTCAGTATGAGCCTGTATTGGAAAAAACATAAAAATACGACACCACATATGTTTTTCCTTCTTCAAAATTCTAGCATTGTCGTAGAAGGAAGGCAGTCTTAACTATAACGTGGATGTTGTCACTGTGTAGAAAAATAACTGTTAGAACATAGGAAGTAACAAACCTAAATTAATCAGTAAAACACTCACATCCTTGTCCCTCAGAATCATTTCCATGGATGATATCTCCATGAGAGTAACATCCAGGCATAGTCCATAATCGAACCACATGAACTTTGACTCTCAATTTTGTTTGCATGGGTTAATAGCACGAACTGAATTGAATGTAGGAGCCATGTGAATACTTGGAGAAAACGGATGGTGTGATAAAAACAGTAGTAATTTACTGACGGGAATAAATCTAACGGCTCCCACTCTTTATATTGCAAAAAATTCATCTATGGTTACAATAAGAAAATGAATGTTATTAGCGATGCATGTGTGTATAACCACTCAACATGCGATGTATATGTGATACGGTGGTAAAATGTGTAATTGAAAAATGTAATATCCCAAATTTTATAGCTACAAATTTATAAGATGTTTGAGAGGTATAAATATTTAGTTAAGGCCTCAGGAAAATAATTGTTCTATAAAAGTCTACTATTGAGTAAGAAATATAGGAAAATAAAGAAGGAATAATTATTAAAAATATATAGTGACCTAAAATAACTAAGGAAAAATTATAGACGACTGTTTTGGAAGATAAATGTGTTTATGGATGAATAAAAGGGTAGAGATAATTTAAAATCTATTTTCCTAAATAAAAGGCTTATTTTCTTGAGAAATTCAAGAAAAATAGTTATACGTTAATTTTCAGCCTCTAAAATTTAGGAAAGTTATTTAGTGAGCCAAAGAAGCTAAAAAGAAAGAAAACTCTTACAAAATGCTGAAGATCAATTTTAAAATTGGGATAAGAGTTACTTGTGAAGCGAAAAATAACTTTTTGTCTTTTACCCTAATTATACGCGTCTTTTCCCACGATGATCATTCCCAAATTCTCACGTTCCTGGCATGTTCTCTGCCTCCTTTTCACTACCTTCAGCCAACTGTTTCCCTTATATCAGATCTCCTTCAACACGCTTCCCTTCTCTTTCTTAGACAAGTAAGCTTGATGGCTTATATTAGAGTGAGAGTCTGAGAGACTGTGGGGAGGCCGATTGAGAGACGGAGAACGAGAGAGAGAGTGAGAGAAAGAGAGCTGACACTGGGAGGGAGATCCAAGCAGGGAAGCTTTCGGGGAGGAGATAGATTACGTGCAAGTCGGCTTTCGAACCAAGGTGGACTCCTAAGTCTTCTCCCATCTTTTATTTCTTCGATTAGATGATTTCAGTAGGAAAGGGGTGATTGAATTCTGGTTCTCAGTGAGGGGAAAATGATGATTAAAGGTTCGAAACTATAACTAGAGATAGATTAAGTTAATATTTAGCATTGCATGTGTTGGATTGATTCTGTTTTCTGATTTCGAAACCCGATGCTTACTGTTTGTGTGTGTGTGTGTGTGTGTTCGTAAAACTTCGTATTGTTCGAGTTATTTCCTTCCTCTGAATCATTGTCATTAACCGATGAGATGGGTTCAGTTGGGAGAGAAATCACCGATTGGGTGAAGATTAAAGCTTGGGTAGTTGAAAAATAAAATTGATATAAAATCAGTGACTTTGTTTTGATGTCTCTTATGTGGTACATGTCATTCAAATTCTGGGTCATATTTCCGAGATTGAAGCTTTGTGTCTTTAAATCTGTTTTGGTATTTAGCCGTAGCAGGGACGCCCCTGTTTGATCTTCTGCGGTGTCCAATACTGGAACTGAAATTGCATTCTTGAGTACTTTAAACGATTGCTGATTGATGAAACTTGAAGCTTGAATAGTTAAGCATACATGTGTGCTCTGTGATGGTGGATATAGCATTGGGTTTCATGATAAAATGGAAAGAAAAGTTGTTTGGGCTTTGGATTTGATGACATTAAACACTTGAATACTATACATTGATATGGGTGTGTGTCCGTGCTGCTGTTATTCTTTTATTTGAACTTTGGGCGAGCTAACTAGAAAGAAAAGAAAAAGAAGAAATTTCTCTGGCTGCTAAGAATATGTGTGTGGTTGTGTGATCTGAATATGTGAAGCTGGAGTATTTTTATATAACTTTCAAATGCTGCTATTATTGATATTATAACAGTGGTATAAACTATTAAAATGCTGCTAGATTCTTAAGGGAACCCGTGAGACTGTTGGATGATAATCAAGCTAAGTGAAAATGATGATAGCTAGTAAATGAGGATGATAATTCAGATTTAAGAAGGATGCTGTCATGAGGCCAAACTGAATTATTGAAGCTTGAATAACTAAGCTATATATATATATATATATATATATTTATATATATATGCGTGTTATATTATTGTTGCTGGATGAGATGGATGCTGAAAATAGAAGCTTTATGTGAGAAAGCCAATTATCTGTAAGTTCCCTTATTTTGATCTATAAATGCAAACGTACACTTGCAGTCGGGTTCTTTCTTGTTTGAGCTAAGGGGAAGTGATTTAAATGTGATGCTGCTGTCATTGATATTAAATAAGAGTCTCTAAAGGGATTCGAAAATGTTGGAGCAGGGAGATTGGATAGGAATTCTATACTTGCATGTTGCCATGAGTCATGGGATTAGGATTATTGAGTTTGAAAACTGATTATAAATTATTGTTTGGGGCTTCTGAATGTTAAACCAGAGATTCAAGGCGTTAGAGTATGTTTTAAGGATGCTTAAATAATGACCGAAACAGTGTTCTTGAAATTGGAATCTGTTGAGTTGTAGTTTATATGATATATTGTTAAAATTGGAACTGAATAATGTATGAGAACTTGCTGGTTTATACTTCTGAATATTAAGCCATTATAATAACTTATGAGCTGGGTCTAGAGACTCTTGAATGATGGTTTAATATCTGACATAAGAGCTAAAATCTTCAGGGGAGCCGTTCTGTGTAGACTGAATGGTTAAAGAATTAAAAGAAGCATACCTATGTTATGAAACTAGAAAATAATTTCTAGGTTATATAGTGCTACTGTTTGAAACGTCTGATGGTTAAAAGTTGATTATAAACTTGTAAGAATATGAGTAAAGCAAGTGAATGCAAGGTGGTCTATAGGGATGCGTGTAATGGACTTTCTTATTCATGTTTTCTAGTTGCTGAAATTGAATATTATTGTCATGAAATATTTTTGTACAAGTTGATGATTGACACTGTCAATTAGTGAATAATTACCTTATATGTTATGGGTTTCTGTTATATTAAATGCTTAGGGGTCATAAGCTGAAAAACTCCTTGTTGATTAATATCAATACATGTGATAAAGCCAAAAGCTGAATTATATGTTTAGATGTTAAACTGTTATTCTTAGCTATGTGAGTGAGATTGAATGTTCAAAACAGATAATAAAGGAAACCGAAATGCTTGATGAAACCATCCATGTTTGTGAAATGTATAAGACTAAACTAAACCTGAGGAACTAATTTGAAATTCCTTTAAATATCTCTAAATGTCAAGTTAATGTTCTACATAGCTATTTATGATCGAAGAGTATTTGAATGATGATTTAAGTTTGTTGTTTTGTGTTCCTGTATGCTAAGCAATTATTTAAGAAGCATGAAGAGTTAATAACTAAGTTAAATCGTACTGTCTTAGCTAAATCATAATAGAATAGGAAGTTAAGAGAAACATAAGAAAGGGGAAGTGTTAGAAACTTTTAGAAATACGTAGATGAAGTGTAAATTTTGGGCCAAAATGACCAACTACCTTAAGAGAAGAGAGTACACCTGAGCGGGGGTTATAAAAAGATTTAGCTAGTTATGGGTTAACCAGAATCCTAATTTTAACTCATCCTATATATGTACTTGAAATGTTAGGATTTAATTGGTGTCCTAGCTCACCAAGAAGAAACCAAGAGCAAGGTACCCGCACAGGAGAGCAGGCGGAAGGTACCTTTAATCATCATTTTATATGTTTTGCTTTGGTTACATGTCTGTTTATGCCATAATGCTATAGTTAAGCATGAGAACATGTAAATTGCCTTACTAGTTATTGCCATGGCCATGTGCATGTATTTCGCTATCCAGTATATGTGCATTTAATAGTTAATCAGTTAACAGCTGTACAGTTATTCAGTTGATCAGATAGCAGCTACTCAGTTATTTAGTTATCAGTTAGCAGCTGTTCAGTATGTATATGCTCAGTTAATCTCAGTTAATCAGTTAGCAGCTGCTTAGTTATTCAGTTACTCAGTTATGCGCAACAGTTATATGAGATTCAGTTAAATAACAGCGAATATGCCTCAGTTAGTTATTCAGTTCAGTTATTTTGTAAGGTGTTGTTCTCCATGGCTTATTTTGCATGCTCAGTTTTATACCATGCATAATATATGAAATATGATTACTGCTACTGGGATTCTTTGAATCTCACCCCTCCTTTCTATTTAACCATAGGGCCCAGTTCATCCAAAGGAAAAGAGAAGCTGGTGGAAGCTTAGCTAAGGTGGAAGGAAGAAGAGCTTAGTGTTTAGTTAGTTAATTAATCTGGAATATTTTTGTGTTTGTTTCCCCCTTCCTTTTGTGATGCTCATATTTCATTTTGTGAGGTTATGTAATTTTCACTTATTGGATGTATGTACCTCCATAACGAGTAGTGTTTTTGGGGTAACTTAGCATAACTGGGTACTTAGCATACATATATGCATATATTAATGACCTATCTATAGTATGAATGGTTTAGGATTTACCAAGTATGATTTATTAGAGCTGAAACAGAAAAGTAGAGTTTTCTGTAGAAACATCTGTATAGCTCTGATAAATTGTTGTTGCTATTAGATCACGGTAGTACGATTTCAGGTCTTATTATATCATATAAAACTTTCAAAGTTTAAAGTTATAAGTTTTGAGTCAAAGTAGATAAAAAGTTTTAAAAATACCACATTTTTAGTGTAAACTCTCAACCATAGTTTTTAAATCTGCTTTCATAAAGGTTTATAGAGTAGGAGGTTACAAAAAATGTTGATCTGTGTAAAGCCCGCCACATAAATTTCTATATTTTGTGACCCATGATATATTTTTTCCATAATAAAATTCTAGAGGTCAAACTTAATAATTAATAAATAGTTGCCCTGTCAAAATCTTTCTTATACATGATGTTGTTTTGCTATTTATAATGCTCTGGATTTTAAATAGTGTCTTAAATGTAAATTATTACCTGGTTTAATAGTATGCCATGTAGGATACTCTTCTAGTTCTTAATATAAGACCTATTTAACTAATTTAATTAGATTAAGGAAGTTAGGTAAGCTAGTTAATTATAAAAAAATATGATATATTTTTCTAAAATACTATAGTCATCTTTCCTAATATCTTCTCTTCTTCTTCTACTTGATTATGGTTGAGAAAGTATTCATATGGGATAATTTAGAAGAAATTGATAAATATGATAAATAGGTCTTATATTTAAGACTAAAATTAACTTAATAATTAGGTTCTACATTAAAAACCGGAAGAGTACAATCCTAGATTAACCCAAAAATATATTATAAAATTAAAATAGATAACTTGATGGCAAGTAAATGCATATCATATGTTTAATTATAGCAATTCTTTTTTAAATGTCTTCAGTTCCCGTCTACATTAAGGTGCAATGGTTTAGTGAAAATTTCATACTTTTATATTATTAATTAATTAATTAATTAATTAATCTAAACTAAAATCTTATGAAAATAGCCACTACCTTGAACATCTCATCTCATCTTTTTTCCCCCCTCCAAGTTCCTTCTATCAAAACTGCTACATATCCTTATTTTTTGGCAAAGGTCAATCTTTTTATGGAATATTATGTAAATAATATAACTAAGTAGTGTAAGAGAATTCAACATGTGACATTATTTACAGGAATAAAAAAAATCAACAAAATATTCAATCATTTGCATTCCCTCAAACGAACGGTGCGGAAGTATCCACCGGATTAAACTCACAAGTAATGGTATTTATAACCAACGTTTTATTTTTTGTATGTATATCCATTGTTATTCCCCAAAACAAAGCTGTCAGTTAGATATTTATTTCAATAAGCACAAATAATAAATTTAATAATTAATTAGTTCAACATTAACATAATTATCCCCAGTAAAAAATAACAGCAGTGACATATTTTCGGGGGGAAAAATAAAACACGCTAAATTAAATTTTTTAAGTTACAAACAGCCACAATTTTCAGAAAAACCTAACTAATTCAAAATATTTAGAAATAAAACGTGGGGTAACTGAAATGTGCAGTATACAAACAAATATTAACTGGTTTATTAAATTGCAAAAAAGAGGACTCAATCTCATTATTTAAAAATAATTAAAAAAATCGTTATGTCACTTATCACACTTCTAGATAGACTTGCGGAGACCCTCCTTGTAATAGTAATACATATGTACGTGTATGCTATTGATTTTTACATAGCCACATAGATTCGGATTTTGGTTTGATAAGTAGCATCGGCCACATATAATCTTTCTATGATCCTCTCGTCGCACGAGCTGGCACATGCATATGAATAAAGAATGATCAACCGTAACATTCTTAATTAAATCCATCAATCTGTGCTGTGATTACTGATTAGTGCCGCCTTGGCTTTTGTAATTTGACGAAAATATTTATTTATTTTTTATTTTGGAAGAAAAGTGCCATAGTATTATCCAGCTCGATTAACACTAGAGGTTCACAATTCACTTACTGTGTTTTGGGCCTAATTTCTAATCCTTCAATGACAAGGCCCCCCTTCCACCATGGACTGAGCTCACAAATAGCGATTTCCAGCTTCCTGTCATCTTTTCGTTCGTTGAAGAAGTCTCCCAATTCAGTCTCGAACCATCCATCTGCTCTCTTATTTGTATATTGTCGAATTTTTTTATTTTTTTTGGCCTGATGTCGATTGAGATTCTCGCTCTGTGCTTTTCTTGGATCCAAATAGATGAATCGCTTGTGAGCATCATTATCATTCCCAGCAATCCCAACGGAGACCTCCGCTGGTTTGTTTTTGAGCCCCTTGGCGTAAGGAGTTAATCTAAACACGAGGTAAGCGGCATACAGAGTTGAAGGAGACAGCATGCGAGTGTTGATCTGCCCTCGAATTTCCAGCCAACAAACATCACGAAGTGCAGCAACCTCCTTAAACCTGCAAGGTACACAGCAGTTCCGCAGGTCACGTCATGAAAACGGCAAAGTAACGTTTCTATTATTGGCTCACCTGCTCTCGGGCACCGAAGGCCACCCCCAATATTCAGGAGTGCTTCCCCAAACAATAGAGAGATTTTTCGAGGATAGCATGAAACATTCCGCCCCACTAAATTTGTCCAGCCAAAAACTCTGAATATACATAAAGAGGCATGAGATTGAAACCCTTAAATCTAAGTAAAAGAGGAATTACCAGGGCACTAAGATTGGAATAGTTAAAAATGAAATAGAGAAAGGAATACCTTGAGACCGTCGTTCATGATGAGGTGGGATTGGTGGGAAAGAGAGAGAAAGAGATGCTTCTTTGAAGAAAAGGAGGGAGGAGGAGAAAGGAGGGAGAGGCAATCGGAAGGGATGAAGGAATTCCAGAGGGCGTCGGAGACGGCGGCGGAAAGGAAGGAGGAAGAGACACAGGAAAACCTACAGGCCTCAGGGGGGGATGTGAAGGAAAGGATGTGGGCGATGCAAGCTTCGGGGAGATTATCCATGAGGGCCGGAGTTTTGTATGGAGGTATGGCTAGTGTAGTGTTCAGCTTCAGGTCGGAGTGGGCACTTAATATCCAAAAGGAAGTATGATTAATGCTTCGCGCTTAAGTCTTAAGTGGGCTCTTTCTTCAGGAGAAATTCTTGCGTCAACCCGACGCGGTGACGCACCACTTTCCTTAGCGCTTAAGTCTTCTCTTTTGTTTTTACCACTCCGGTTAAGTGACTTATCGAGAAAGTTTTTGTCCCAAATCATTTGTAGTATATTTAATGTTTATTTTTTAATTTTATCTTTAATTAATTCTTATTGGAAAGAGAAAAAAAGAGGAGGGATATAAGAATCAGTTGCAAATGTAGAGAGAGAGGGAGAAAAAAAACTCTAATGAGAGTGAATTAAACAATTTTATCAATTTAATATGGTTCTAAGTATACCAGAATATGTTATAAGTGAGTTATATTAGTGGTATTATTTATTTCTTTTGTTTATTTTGGGACTGATTGGAATTCATTTGCCTTCATCGTATGTATTCATCATCAGTGAATTGACTTCCGCTTTAAAACAAGACATGGAAGGATTAACAAGGATAGTCATGATTCTTCGTTGCTATAAAAAGATTTAGAAATTTTAATTTATCCTGGGATTCATCCAAAAAAACCCCTTCATTAAGCACTCTCAATTGAGATAAAAATATTGTAGCCTTAATTGAAATCCAAGTCTAAATTCCTTACAAAAGAAAGAAATCTAAGTACTATATTTATAGAAATCCAATAATGACTAAAATCATAAAATAATATTAAAAATTAGTTAAGTTACTTATTTGTAATAAATAAATTTTGTCTTCCTTGAAATATCTTTCTTAATCATGTATATTAGAAGGGAAATATTTTAACGACTGCAGTTACTATAAGAACTATTTTTGTAACATCCCAAGTTTTAATTCCTAGGATTTAAGTTATATTTGTTATTAATTAATAGTAATTGAAATTATAATGTTATTATTTGAATAAAGAGAATTTACTCAAATTGGAAATAACTTTTCGAAAAAAGATTTATAAATTAAAGTGAGGAAAAAAAATTAAATATAAGTGTTTTGAAGTATTATTTTAAAATGATATACTACCTCTGGTCTTTAATATAAGACCTTGTTTAACTTTTATTTTGGGTTTAAATATAACACCCAATCCACTTTATCTCTCATATTTATATATTTTTTTAAGATAGTTCTTCTAATAATAATAGATTTACCCAATACAATTGATTAGTAAAGATATTTTAAGAAAGACAATACCTATTTATTACAAATAACTAACTTAACTTCTTTCCTCAATCTCCTCAAATTAGTCAACTAGTTCTTATAAATATGACCAAAAATAGTAGTAATTAGTTTAGCATTTTGAATTTTATCTAAGAAGGAGGGGGAACTTGATACCTCACGTGTTCCCCCCGCCCCCCAACAAATAATTAAAAAAAATTATATACTAAGGAATCATTCGTGGGGGTCACATGACCCCACCCCTATTTTATTTTTTCCCTTGTTCATTTGCACACGCTCGCAGTAGGCAGCCTTTATTTTCTTTTCCTTTCTTCCTCCCATCGCGTCAGAAGCTCTTTGTTCCTCTCCTCACACATTCGTCGAGTGCCGTGAGGTGGGGGGGGGGGGGGGGAGGGCAGAGAGAGAGTTTGAGAGGAGAAAAGGGGATTGCTTGGTCTCATTGAGATATCTTGGTAAGTTATTTAAATCCTATTTTATCTTGGTTTTTTCTCTTTAATTTATTTTTCTGGGTTGTTGACATGGAAAAAAAAAAAGGGCTTGTTAGATTTTGAATATTTAAGGCTTCTAATTTATTATTATGATATTACTGGAGCCTGGGGGGTTAGAATAGGAGTCCTATGATCTAGATTTTTATTTCAATAGTTAGTTTGAGGAAATGTAAGTTAGGGTTAGGTAGGAAAATTGTAATCTGTGGTAATGATGCTATTAATTCCGAATTTAAACTCTTAATTTAGTTCATTGAAGGTTATATTAAAGATTTAATGGTTGGATTTTTAGGATTTTGTTGGAATATGAATGTTGATTATTTTTGGAGGAACTTTAACTAGTAAAATTTAGGTGTTTTGAATTAAACTGGGGTGAATGTTGTAATTTGATGATT